TCATGGCTTCACTGAGTTATGCAAGCCCCTTCGCCATGACAAGGCAGTGATCCATGAAGGGAACAATATAAAAGTAGTCCTAAATAAATAGTATGCCATCTCATTATGTCAAGACCTGGGCTGCAGGGCATTGCACTGGCTGTTGTTATTTTTATTTCTTTTACGTTAACCGCCCAGAATGACACAAGATGAGCAGCCATGCAAATCATTTAAATTAGTAAATAACATTCATAGATGCAGGCTAGGGACTGGAGTGGGTTCAGCAAACTATGTTGGTAGTGTTTGCTCCACTAGAAAAGTTTATTTTATTCCTTTATGTATTCAATTTATATAGCTGCCCATCTCAAACCAGTGACTCTGAGCATTGAAAGAGGTGCTGCAAATCGTGAGAATTAAATCCCTGGTAATATCCTGAATTTCTGACTTTCTAATTGGGTTTTCTAATTTCTTTTTTCCCCCGTGAAGCAGTAGATGAGCAGGAGAATGAACATTACCAAGAGCCAAGTGTGATGCCCTCAGAAGTAATCAAGATTGAAATACAAGAAGAGACATCTGAAAATAAGTGGGAAAGGAGGAGATATGAGAAAAAACAGTACTACAATTGGAAAGAAAAATCCACTCTTGAATGTGTGGAAATGGATCGCTTCCTGGCCCAACATTATTGCAAAGAAAGCAGTATAGAAAAGTGTCAAGGAAGTGGGGAAATATTCCAAGCAAAATCCAATTTCAGTAACCAGTGCAAAATTGGAAAGAACTTCAGCAATAACAGTAGCCTAAATCCCCATAAAATTATCCATACAAGGGAGAAGCCTTTTAAATGTGTGGACTGTGGAAAGAGCTTTAGATGTAGTAGTAATCTTAACTATCATAAAAGGATGCATACAGGGGAGAAACCCTATAAATGCATGGACTGTGGAAAAAGCTTCAGTTCGAACAGTTCCCTTACTTATCATGAAAGGATCCATACAGGAGAGAAACCGTATGAATGCCTGGAATGCGGAAAGAGCTTCATCCAAAGCAGTGACCTTACTTCCCATAAAAGGATGCATACAGGGGAAAAACCCTATCAGTGCATAGATTGTGGAAAAACCTTCAGTTCAAACAGTTCCGTTACTTATCATAAAAGGATCCATACAGGAGAGAAACCCTATCAATGCGTAGAGTGTGGGAAGAGCTTCAGCAAAAGTAGTGTCCTTACTTCCCATAAAAGGATGCATACAGGGGAAAAACCCTATAAATGCATAGACTGTGGAAAAAGCTTCAGTTTGAACAGTTCCCTTACTTCCCATAAAAGGATCCATACGGGAGAGAAACCCTTTAAATGCATAGAGTGTGGGAAGAGCTTCAGCAAAAGCTGTTACCTGACTTCCCATAAAAGGGTCCACACAGGAGAGAAACCCTACCAATGCCTGGAGTGTGGGAAGAGCTTTAGCAAGAGCAGCGTCCTTACTTCCCATAAAAGGATCCATACAGGGGAAAAACCTTATAAGTGCACAGACTGTGGAAAGACCTTTAATGGGCATGGCCACCTGACTTCTCATAAAAGGATTCACACAGGAGAGAAACCCTATAAATGCCTGGAGTGTGGAAAGAGCTTCAGTCATAGTGGTTCCCTTACTTCCCATAACAGGATCCACACAGGGGAGAAACCATATCAATGCATGGACTGTGGAAAGAGCTTCAGCAGAAGCAGTTCCCTTTCTTGCCATAGAAGGATCCACTCAGGGTTGAAACCTTATATGTGCAATCAGTGTGGGAAGAGCTTTAGTACAAGCAGCTCCCTTACTTATCACATTAGTATCCACACAGGGGAGAAAGTATATCAGTGCATGGAGTGTGGGAAGAGCTTCAGGCTGAAAAGTCACCTAACTTCCCATAAAAGAATCCACACAGGGGAGAAACCATATAAATGCATGGAATGTGGAAAGAGTTTTTGTGAAAACAGGACCCTTACTTCTCATGAAAGAATCCACAGAGGGGAGAAAAAATATGTCTGCATGGTGTGTGGAAAGAACTTCAGGTGGAGCAATCAACTTACTTCCCATAAAAGGACCCACATGGGGGAGATGCTTTTAGGGACTGAAGTGTCCTTAATTCCTGTAAAAGGATCCACTGTGATATGAAACCATGTAAAAGCATGGAATGCAGAGCGTTAAGTCAAGAATTGTGAATTTTCATCTTAAAAGGCTTCATGTACAGAACTTTATATCTGCAGGACCACCTCTCCATGAGGACATCTGTCTGTCCCACCAGAGCATATAGGGTGGACACACTCCAGGTCCCCCGCCTTAAATACTGCCATCTTGTGGGCCCTCAGAAGCTGCCTTTTCCATTGCAGCCCTGGTCTATGGAACACCCTTCCCCTGAGATCTGACCGGCCTCCACCCTTCTGTCCTTCCAGAGAGCACTTAACACCTGGCTCTTCCCTCATGGGTAGGGCGAGGCCAGGATGGGGTGACAGTGTGGGTGCATTAGAGATGTGTGGCTGTGGTGCCAGGTTTTTCTGTTTTTATTCTGTTGCTGTTGGCTTTTATATTGTTTTATACTGTTTTATTGGTTGTAAGCCACTCAGAGTTGTTTCGAGTTGGGTGGCTATATAAATGTTTTAAATAAATAAAGTAAGAAAGAAAGAAAGAAAAGTTTTAAGTAAGTACAGGTAGTCCTCACTTACTGACCACAATAGGGACTGGCAAGTCCATCATTAAGCCGCATAGTCATAAAGTGAAATGTCACGCGTGTCAGTGGGGCAGTTCCAGTTGCAGTTGTTAAGCAAGTCACCCGTGGTTGTAAAGTGCGACGTCAGGTGTCTGCGACTTGTGACTTCTTGCCAGCTTCCCCATTAACTTTGCTTGTCAGAAGCTGGCTGTGAAGGTCACAAATGGTGATCAAATGACCTCAGGAAATGCGTGCTGGTAAGTGAGGACTACCTGTAAGAAAGAGAGAATATACATGTACTGTGGGAAGAGGTTCAAGTGGAATAGGAACCTTATTTTCTGTAAAAAAGGTATTGGAGGTGCACGGGGAAGAAACCTGATAATACATAGAAAACAGTTTGAGAAGAAAGTATCCACTTGGGAGAGGAATCCTATAAGCAAGGAGGATGGGAAGAGTTTCAACAAAAAGTAATCCCCTTAGTTCCTGTGAAAGGATCCACATGGGAGAAACCACAGAAATGTGTGTCTGGGAGAGGAGTTAAAGAGCAGGAGTCTTACTCTCCAAGAAAGGAGAAATTATATAAATGGAAGAAGTGTAGTAAGAACTTCAGTACAAGGAACCCTCTTATTTCCCAGAAAAAGGTTCACACACAGGAGAGACATTATAAATGCATGGAACTCAAAGAGAGCCTGTTGAGCTGCCTTATTTCCCATAAAAGGATACACTCTAAGGATCCTGTAAGTACAAGGATCCTGTGGAAAGAGATTGAGGTGACCAGTCTTCCTTCTTTTGGAGGATTGCCATAGGAGAAACAGAATAAATGTATGGATTATGGAAAGAGCTCCCCAGGATAGATTTCTTAATATCAGAGGTATTACCTAATCAGTTAGGTCCAGGTCATGAGAATCTCTTACTAAATTGTTGCACTCATTATGTCAAAAAGCTCTCAAAACCTCTGCCTGGTCAAGCTGCTTTATCTAGGCAGAAGCAACACCTGAAGCGAGTCTGGGATCAGGCTTCAGGCTTTGGGGAGAAATGGCATAGGCAAGCAAAGCAAGGAAAGATGAAGATTTTATCTCTAATTGTATATATACCCGTCTTCTTTAAACACGTAGCAAAGTATTTTAAGCTATTGATTCTTTTTTCATATAACCCGATGTGCATAGCTGTGGTTTATCAGTGAAAATTCCTCCCAAATGTTTATATGTACATGCCCATTTAATATGCCGCTGGGTGCAAAATTGCATTAACCCGACTGAAAGCAGAAGTGTAGCCAGTGTGTTTGATTGCAGCTGTTGCCTCTTTACTTTAAAAATGGTTTTATTGATCCAACAGTGTACCATATGAGCAATACTTTTTATAGAAAGGAGGGAGTTCAATCAAGCTATTTCTCTTTATGTCTTCATTTCTTTGAGTGAAGCAACCAGAACCATATTTCCAACCTCTTATCATCAAGAATGGTACATTCAGCTCAAAGGGAATCCTGTATGGAATTTTTTTTCTGTGTTACATTCCCAAACCACTGAATTTCTCGAAGTTTTCAATGTCACTTTAGTGCCACTTTATTAGTTAAAGCAGATTCCTGAATTTGCGATATCAGGGTGATGAAAAAGGTCAATCCTATCTGAAATTTTAGGGGACCGTGGCATTGGATATTTGAGAAACCTCATCTTGCTGACATGATTCTGACTCTCTGCTTTTTATCTTAATATAGCTTTTTAAAAAACGCTTCGGTATATCCTGATTATTACTTATATTTCTCATTTTAAAGGGTTAATATAGTAAATTATTGGGAAAAGTTATTGTGCAAT